CTCTGTAACATATGATTTCTGTAAAAAAATGACAAGCACATTATTATTGGTTGGTTTAATAACTTTCTACTTATTAATAGGTCTTGGACTTACACTACTACCAATACCAGGGAAAATGCTTTTTTTTTTTTTTTTTTTTTTTTTGCCATGACTGAATTATTTGAAAGTAAATGGCTTACTACTGAAAACACAGCTACCACCTGCATGGCTATGACCAAAATAGTAACATTCATATACACAATTTTGTAGTACTATTTTCAAGTAAACCGTTTTCCAAACACTGACTGCTACACTGAAGTACGTTACATTTTGGGTGACATTTTGCTAAAAAGAAATAAATTTCAAGTGATTCTTACTTGCTTTGATTGCTTGTTTTTAAGTTCATGACATACTAAGATTCCTTCAGAGGACTTTACTTCCTCTTCTCAGTGCAAATTATCTTATATCTTTCCCAGGTTTTTCGAAGTGATCTTCAATATTCTGGTCTTTTCATTTGTTTCCTAAAATGCAGACCCATAAAATTATCATGAATTATTACAAACTATAGAAACATTACTAGATTTAATGTTCATTGTACACGGTGCCCATGCCTGATTTATTCACCAAATCATTTCCTTGACACATTCCAAATCACAAATAGCACTGATGATAGGGAAATACTTCTGTCATTAAGTGAAATGTGTTGTCATTCTTACCTACAGAAGCCAGGTTCCTGTAGGTTTCCTGCATCACTTCTCTACAGAGATTCTTCTGAGAAGAATCTAGCAAAGTCCATTCCTCTTGGGTAAAGTTCACAGCCACATCCTCAAAAGCCATAGAGTCCTAGAACATTCCACACATGTAGATAGAAGGATGGGTGAGACTGACAGCACTGGGAATCTATACTCAATTCATAAGCTGTTTACATGATTCTAAAATTTCCAAGCATTTATTCTATGACTTGATTGTCACAACTCTTACTCTGTTCACACATACTCCCTCCCACACAGCAGTACTAATGCTAGAATTGAACTATTCAAAAAGGCAACAGCAAAGTAGAAACACTCATCTCATTAGAGAATCCAGGGAGTAAGATGTGCTGCTAGGAGTTACCTTTTAACTTCACTTTGTACATTTCTAGTATCTGTCATAATAAAGTCCTACCTGATGTCCATAAGTGAGTTAATATTATCAGTCCTGAGACTTCTTACCCTTAAAAATGCCTGCTCACAAAGTTCAATCTTTGTTTGTATTAGTAACTTACATTTTGAAAGGGATTCCACCAACCCAAGTAATAAGAATGACTCACTGCATCTAAATGGCTTATGCAATATATTTGCCAAAACTTTTTCTGCTGAAGGTCTATTATTTTGTGTCACTGCAGTGGTGCTTACGGAACTAGACACCAAAACACAGTCTGAACACTAAGTGTTCAATGAGTTTCCCTGGTAGACAATATTTTACATGTGCTGTCACTTGTTAACTGGGGAGTTGAGCCCATTCCATGTGACTACACCGAGAGAGTAGGCTTATTAAATTTAATTGAGTAGTAAATAAAACCAATAACTGATATTTAACAATACTAATACAACAATTTTTAAAATTTCTATTGCACAATGTCAAGGCAGAAAGGAATAAGAGGAAATATGACACCTGTTTTTTAAAATGACATGAATGTCACCACTTCCAGATGCTACTCCTGTGAAATCACATAAATTCCCAAATCAGGTTGTTTTAGGCAAAAAAAACTACTTTTTCATATGTAAAAACAAATGACAAATGTCTAAGGATTTTTAGTCATCTAAAAAAAGAGTGATGGCTTGTCTTATGTACTTCTAAGATTTTCAAACGAAAATATTCAGGACAGCACAGTATTAGCAGAGAGATGAGCAAGCAGACCAAGGGAAAAAAAAGTCTTAATGACCCAGCATTTATATGGAAAGTTGATGAATGATAGAGTAGGCACTGTAGAATAGAAAAAGAAATCACATGCACTTTAAAATATGAGGCAAACCAGGCTGGCATCTACTTGGGAAAATGCATCGCATTCTTCTCTATTCCATGAACCATAATCAACTTATTATATATTCAAATATGAAAGATAAAACCAGAACACTTTCAGAAGTCACAGGAAGATTTTTTTTCTTTTACGAAGGATTAGGCAGAATTTTTTTTATGTAAGAAAAAAGTGATAAAGGAACAGACAAACTCAAACATATTAAAATTTAGGGAATAAAAAGAAAATAGAGTGGGCCGGGCGTGGTGGCTCACACCTGTAATCCCAGCACCTTGGGAGGCTGAGGCGGGCGATCACCTGAAGTCAGGAGGTTGAGACCAGCCTGGCCAACATGGCAAAATCCCGTCTTTTTGTTGTTTGTTTGTTTGTTTTTTGAGATGGAGTCTCGCATTGTCGCTTGGGCTGGGGTGCAGTGGCAAGATCTTGGCTCACTGCAACCTCCACCTCCCAGGTTCAAGCAATTCTCTTGCCTCAGCCTCCCGAGTAGCTGGGATTACAGGTGCCTGCCACCACACTCAGCTAATTTTTTTGTATTTTTAGTAGAGACAGGGTTTCACCATGTTGGTCAGGCTGCTCTGGACCTCCTGATCTCGTGATCCGCCCACCTTGGCCTCCCAAAGTGCTAGGATTACAGGCATGAGCCACCGTGCCAGGCCTAAAACCCCATGTTTACTAAAAATACAAAAATTAGCTGGGTGTGGTGGTGGGTGCCTATAATCCTAGTTACTTGGGAGGCTGACACAGGAGAATCACTTGAACCCGGGAGGCGGAGGTTGCAGTAAGCAAAGATGGCGCCACTGCACTCCAGCCGGGCTACAGAGCAAGACAGCGTCTCCAAAAAAACCAAAAAACATCACCCAAAAAACGCTCAGATATCCAGATGAGAGGATACAGATGTGTCCACTGTCATAAATTCTTCACCACACTACAAGAGGGGAACTGACATTTTGGTGAATCTTTGTAAATCATCAATTTATCTATCACATTTTATTTTACCAGTAGCATTTACAAAGCTAAGTCCTACAATTCCATTTGAAATTACTCTTAAAAACAACAGACCTTTAAAACTTACTACACTCACTCTGGGGAAGAAATAAATATGAATTTTTAGCAAATAAAATACATCATTTTACCTTGCCTCTTTGGAAACAGTATTTTTATCTTTCAAGCTGTACTGACAAAATGTATCTTACAGTCAATGAAAAACTGAAACTCAAATAAGCGGACAAGCCTTTTCAAGGTAACAAACTCAGGGAAAGGCAATGCTGACTCCAACACAGGCCTTTCTAAGTGTCACGGCAGGCCATTCTATCCCTCGGGACACCCATCCTGTTCAGTAAAGTACTGTTACCACCTAGAAGGCACTGGCACTGCTCCTTGTCCTCCTGTGTGCCTTAAGTGTATTTTAATAGTCAGGGGTGCACATCTCTCTGGGGTGGGTTTTCCTTGTCCTTTGGGACAGTTTTTCTCTCTTCACAAGTCTGAGACAATCTAGAGAGCAGAAATCATTTCTGCCTTTTCCTCTCAGTATCAGCTGGCAGGCCATCAACATGTCTCCGAGGAATAAAAACTCGGGCTGGAGGAACAATTTTAATGACCTAACTTTAATGACATTACATTGTATTGTTCATTAATTTTAATGTCCTAAAATTTTAATGACCCTAAGGGGTCACCATTTTAGATGAAACTATACCAGGAGATTCCTCTAAGGCCAAGAGCATCCAGCTGCTCCCCCGAGAGACTCTACCCCCTACCTCAGGCTGCCCTTGGGGATGAGATGACCCTGGGGCTGATACTCACTAGACACTCCAATAGACATGGCCACTGTGGGTATCCTGGGTCATCCCCAGACAGTTCTAAAATGCCAGGACTAGGAAAAGACAGGAGGGTGGCTGAGGACACAACACCCTGTAAAGTTTTCACGAGGGGACCTCAACCTAAAGACATTTTGGTAATATGTACACTTAGGAAAGATGAAGAGAGGCACAAAGATTTTTTTTACAGTAGAGTGTCGGATGATTTATTCTCCGCTTTCCTCTCATGTAAAATGTTTGGAAACAGAAAAATATTTTGGCCAAGGTGGCTCACGCCTGTAATCCCTGCACTTTAGGAGGCCGAGGCAGGCGATCAATTAAGGCCAGGAGTTCGAAACCAACCTAGCCAACATGGCGAAGCCCTGTCTCTACTAAAAATACAAAAATTAGCTGGACATGGTGGTGGGCGCCAATAAGCCCAGCTACTTGGGAGGCTGAGGCAGGAGAATCACTTGAACCCGGGAGTCAGAGGTTGCAGTGAGCTGAGACTGCACCATTGCACTCCAGCCTGGAGACAGGGCGAGAATCCGTCTCAAAAAATATATATCTATACACACACATACATATACACATACATAAAATATGTACATATATATGTATATTATGTATGGTTTGCTTCCTCATTAACCTTATCAAAGCCTCTCATTTACGCCCCTCCTGTGGACCAAAAACCACAAACCATGACTGTGGTACCCGGTTTATGAATCGCCGTTTGCTCAAACACACCGTTTAACGTTTTAACAAAGCCTCAGGTTAATTTTAGGGGGAGAAAGGTGGCACTGGAAGCTCCATGAACCACAGCTCCTCCCACGCTGGAACCCCACACACCGAGTCGGGGCTCTCCCGGATCACCCTCCCGCGGTCACCGCACTACCTGGGTGAGGGAGGCGCGGGGATCCCGAGAGGGCTCCGGCCAGCGGAAGTGGTGCAAACAGGTACAGACAGGACGCAGGGGTCCGGCTGCCCGCCCCGCTTGGCCCTGCACAGAAGGGGACTGAGGTCCGGCTGGGCAGCGGCGGCTGGGTCCGCAGGTTCCGCAGCAGATGTCTGGTTCCAGCAGGTTTCAACCAGCCCTCTTCCCCACTTTGGGAAGCTAGGCGAAGTCCACTCACCATTCCTCGGCTTCCCGGGTATCCAGGAGTCAGCTAGGCATGTCCCAATACTCGCAGGTCACAGGGTGGCAGAGGCTGCTGCAGAGCCACCTGGGCCTCCCAGAGCCAAGAAGCAGCAGCGGAGACGAACAGAAAGAACCTCCTGTGGCGAAGGCGAGACAAAGCGCCCGCCAGCCAGATTCCGGAAGCCGCCCTCTCCTTTCCGGCGGCGCGCCTGATTGAACGGTCCCCACCCCAGCGCCCCTGATTGTAGGCGGCTTCAGGCCCCACCCCCTCAGGCCCTGAGTGACAGGAGATTGCGATCTCACGTGAGGCTGGATGAGGCCAGAACCACCGTTTTGGCCTAGCGGTTTGTAGGGGGTGCGTCCTTCCTCCGCTGGGATCTGACTATGCAAGGAGGACATTCGCATTTAACCTTGTATACAAGGTTATAGCTATTTGTGCATTATATATATATATATATATGTATACATACACATATATATATATGTATGTGTATGTGTGTGTGTGTGTATATATATGTAATTGCAAGCAATATAGTAACAATTCTGTAACTGCCCAGTGGGTTCACCTTGCCCGCTACCTAGACAGAGCCGATTTCTCAAGACGGGGGAATAGCAATAGAGAAAGAGTAATTCACGCAGAGTCGGCTGTGCGGGAGACCGGAGTTTTTTATTTTATTTTATTTTATTTTTCTGAAACAGAGTCTTGCTCTGTCGCCCAGGCTGGAGTGCAGCCTCAGAGTTTTATGATTATTCAAATCAGTCTCCCTGAGCATTTGGAGATAAGAGTACTTAGAAAGTTTATTTTGCCAAGGTTGGGGATGTTTGTGCATGACACAGCCTCAGAATGTCCTGATGACAGTTGCCCAAGGTGGTCAGAGCACAGCTTGGTTTTGTTGGAGATAAATGCTCGGTGCTGCAAAGTGAAACCAGCACTCAAGCAAAAGTTTTCTCAGCAACGAAATTTACTTCTGCAGAAGTGTGCTGCTTGCATCAATCACAATGGCAAGAGCACACGGAACAAAGGAAAGCAGGGGTTTTTATTCCTAACGCAATCCCTACCTCTGGCATGGGCTGGGGTCGGACCTCAAGCTCTAAACTGACCCGGTTGGTATTGGTGAATATTTTCTCAAATAACGAAGGGGGAAGGGGGATGTGAGTTACAACGGTGGGACATGTGGTTTCGAAGGGAGAAATGGGTGCAGAGCAGGTATTTGATTAGAACTGATGGGAAGGTTGTTTATTGAGTAGAACTGATGGGAAGGTTAACTAAGGGCAAGGAGGAATGGAGAACAAGAAAGTTGAGTTCGAGAACAAAAAACAAGAACGTTAACATGCCAAACCTTGGAAGAGAAACTGTCTGTATCTGACAGTTTTATACATTATAGGGAGACAGGAGACATCAATCAACATATGTAAGATGAACACTGGTTTGATCAGGTACAACCTGAAGCAAAACTGGGTCAACCCGAAGCCAGGAAGGGGCTTCCAGGTCACAGGTAGGTGAGAGAGGAACGGTTGCATTCTTGTGAATTTGCATGAGCCTTTCCAAAGGAGGCAATAAGACAAGCATTCTTCTCAGGGAGCAGGGGATGACTTTGAATAGAATGGGAGGCAGGTTTGCCCTAAGCAGTTCCCAGATTGACTTTTCCCTTTATCTTAGTGATTTGGGGGACCCAAAATATTTTCCTTTCCAATTTTCCCCTTTTGTTTTAAAAATATTTTGGAGAAAGCATTTTAGAAGAAAATCAGTCTCTGGTGCCAGGTTTTGTCTGATTTCTCATGGAGTAGCTGAGATTACAGGTGCACGACACCACACCTGGCTATTTTTTTTTTTTTTTTTTTTTTGGTAGAAACGGGGGTCTCCTTCGGTTGCCCAGGCTGGTCTCTGGTGCCCAACACAGGGCCCCGGTAATCTCTGCAAATAATCCAGTGAAGGAACACCAGAGCGTGGAAAGCGGAGGACGACCGACAAAGGACCCCCGAGTAGGTTTTCACTTCAAGCTCTAGGGTAAGTGGGGTACTCGGAGAATTCCAGGGAAACCTCGGGAAAATATGGGTCAGGCTGAGAGTAAGTTCGCTAATTACTTAGGCCTTGTGCAGCAGTTACTGCACCACGGAGGGGTAATTGTGAGTACCCAAAATCTCACATCTTTGTTCCATCTGGTAAACAAGTATTCTCCTTGGTTCCCGGAATATGGAACCATGAATGTGAAAGATTGGGACAAGGTCGGATCAGACTTAAAACGAGCACACTTAAAACGAGCACAACAAGAGGGCCACGATATTCCCGTCTCTGCTTAGTCTGTGTGGTCAGCAATTAAAACAGCACTGGAGCCCTTCCACACTGAGGAGGAGAAGGAGGAGTTTCAGGATGACATAGGAAAGTTGAATAATCAGGAGTCTATCAGCAAAGTGAACTATGACAGTTTAGTTTTAAAAAGGGCGAGAAACGGGAAGGTATGTACGCTATCTCCAAAAAGTTATAAAAGGAACAGTGCCACCTACTGCGCCTTTAGGGGAAGGTCTGGAATGGCCACCCCCAGGCCAGCCTTAGGAATTTTTGGAATGGGAGCCTGAGACTCGCCTTGTGGCTCCCTTTGTTGCAGGCCCCTCCAGTAACTATGGTGAAGGGAAGCTTCAGGCTTGTCCAAAAGCCAATTACCATGAGGGAATGATCCAGGCCTGCCCACCTGTTAATTATGGTAAAGGAATGCTGCGAGCCTGTCCAAATACAAATTATGGCACAGGGACAATCCAGGCATCCATTCGCCAGGTACAAGAAATAGGGGATTTGAATGCTTGGCAGTTTCTGGTAATTATTTCGCCAGCTGAGGAGCCCAGAGAACTTGCTCAAGCATGCTGGGACCCATTTCCTTTTAAAATATTAAAAGACTTAAAGCAAGCAATTGGACAAGATGGGCCAAATTCTCCTTATGTTCATTCCTTGTTACAATATATGACTTATAACAGACGTTGAATACCTATGGATTGGGAGGCATTAGCCTGATCCACCCAGACCTCTCTGAATTTCTCCAATTTAAAACCTGGTGGACGGATGAAGCAACAAATCAGGCACGCAGAAATGCTCAAGTCCAATGTCCCATTAATATCACATCTGATCAATTGCTTGGAATCGGACAGGCATGGGGTACTCTAAATCAAGAGATGGTAATGGGTGATAAGGCTGTTGATCAGCTCAGAACTACATGCCTAAGAGCCTGGGAAAAAATTCACGACCCTGCTACTGCTTATCCTTTTCACACAGTTCAACAAGGTCCAAGGGAGCCTTTTCCAGATTCTATCGCCCGTTTGCAGGATGCAGCTCAAAAGGCTATTTCCAATTTTCATGCCAAGAAAGTGATCGTTCAGCTGCTTGCTCATGAAAATGCTAATACAGAATGTCAGGCAGCAATTAGACCTATTAAGGGAAAGGCAGATCTAAATGAGGAAAAAACTTTAAGTGAATACATTAAAGCCTGCGATGGCATTGGGGGGCACTTATATAGGGCCAGCCTCCTTCTATAAGGCCGGGGGAGAGAGGGGGATGCTATTACTCCCCGTATCATGGGGGGTGCCTCACCCCCATGCGATGTGGATCCTAACAGGGAGGGGGAGGAGGGGGTTGCTATTACTCCTCATTATGATGTGGATCATAATAATTACTCCACCCTGAAATGCGTGTCCATTATTAGCAGTCTCTTTTGTTCAGGATATTAGGAACATTTTCACAGGTTGTGTGTACACAGCCTGCGATAGGAGAAGGAATACCATCCTCTGCACCTCCAGCTATAAGGAACCATATCACACCATGAGTGTACACTTTTTGGGGAGATTTGGGCTAATGTCGTCCTGTGTTTCCCTGAATATTCGGAGACATATCACAGGGCGGCTGTACACCCACTACTCTCTTGGCAGGAACATCATACTTTACCTACCGGAAACTAGGAGCAATATCACAGACTGGGTGTCAAGCCACTGTCATATT